TATCGTCACTATCATCAATATCGTTACTAGCATCAATATCGTCACTAGCATCAATATCGTCACTAGCATCAATATCGATATCATCAATAAAAAAACCCTTTAGGCTTGCTATCCAGGAACTTGTCAGAAAATACTGTAATGAAAGGAACATAGGAGTTTGTCGCTAGGTATTTGACCAAATAGGATCGTCCGGTTCCTATAGAACCTATCACTAAAATACCCCTAGAGGGGGATAGGGCTAAGCGGAGCGAAAAGGGTTTTCCATGAGACGGGAAATGAAAACTATTAGCCCCACACGAAGTTTGTGAATAAGTGATTGTCTGATAATGAGCAAGGAATATCCGTCTTTCTACTAAACAGGATGTATTGAACTCATAATTCATTAGATACTTTTTCCCCCCTTACCCAAAATAATTTTAAATTCATTTCACTGTATAGATATATTTTATAATAATAATTATTATTATTTTTTGTCACAAATTTTAGTCTTAAATTAATAATTATATAATAATAATAATACTAATTAGTATTTTTAACGACTTAAAGCTAAAACGGGGGAAGACGGGAATAATCTTAAACGAGGGTCCAATCACTACTTGTTCACACGGGCGGGCTTTCCTTCAATTAAAAATGGACCTTGAAATTTTCTACACTCCAACCCACTATTTTTGGCCATGCAAGATGTACGACTGGTTAAAAATCAAGTGAGAATGCGACAATATTTGTATGTAAATAGAATCCTCTTACTGTCAAAAAAAAATATATATATATTCTGGTTCGTTTTTAGGTTGGAAGAGATTAAAAATGGAGACAGAGAGAATATTGTGACCAAATATAAGAGGGTGGGAATGTGTTCTAGGGTTTGTTCTGTAACACTGAATAGTGTCATGAGACTGTATTGGTCCCTCCTACCTTGTCACTTTCCAATTCCAATTCCAATTCGATTTGTATGTATCTACATGTGCGGTAAGGAACTCAACTCTCATCCCTTCCAATCCCAATCCCAATCCCAATCCCCTTCCCAACCATACGTTCAATCGGGCAGGCTTATTATGGTGTTTACACTATAACCCATAAGTTAATTTTTCTCTGTATATAGAGAAAAGATTATAATTAAAGTAGCTTGCAATTGGACGGGTGATGGAGAAGGATATATAGAATTGGGGGGGGGGTGATGGGTCGATGTTGGTGACTTTAGAAAATTTGATGAATAGAAGGCTGAAGATGGTCCCGTTCACCGCCATGCAAGGTTAGTGTTGTACGAGATGGACCACAAGGCAGTATTAGGTTAGGTACACTGGTTGATGAATAAAGCCATACACTCAGCTAATAACATCGACTATGACCACTCTATACCAACTCTCTACCATTTGCATGGTGGGAGATTTTATAACCGAAATGAAAATAAAAGTCGTTCGCCACCGAATCCGCATTCTAATAGTTAATTAAAGATTACTAAGTACGAATTTTCATAATCTAATTAACATAGTGCATAATTTATTAATATGTTAGTGGAATTGGAGTAACTAAGTTTAATGTTTGTCATATTTAAATTTTTTTAGTTGAAATAAGTACACTGAATATTCAGAGATAACTTTTTACGACGTTTAAAAAGATAAAAGATCGTTGGACCACCAATAATAAGTTGTGACTTTTGGAAAGTCCTGTTAGGTGGACGTCGAAGATCAGAAATATCAAAAGGAGTGTTGCGTGTGCTGTTGGAGAACTAAGAAATGTCTCATTCTCTAAAGACTTGTAAGATATAAAAAGTGTGGGAACCATAGATTAGGATTGTTCACTTGTATTGGCTCCAATAAGGAAATTAGTAAGTTGCAGATAAAATATGTAAAGATTTTTCAGCCTTCAACTCTGAACTTTGAAATTGAAGATGATCAGTTTGTAGTTAAACAAATAATTTCAGCTCAAAACATCGCCTGCTTCTCAAATTTTCTGCATTTAAATCCGCAGCAGTTGTTCTCATGTGCAAATGATTAATCAACTAACAGCTGATACAACATATGTATATGTATACATATGATTTCTCTGTTGTTCAATAGTTAAATAAACCCACCTTCATCATGTGCTTGCTAGCTATCATCTCTTCTGTTTGTTTAACTCACAGGGAACAACCTGCATTTTATCTGTCCTGTTTCTATTTGTTTTTCCTTCAATTGAATTTTTTTTTTTTTTTTTTTCTTGTATAAACACGTGAGTTGTATGGAAAATGCAACCCTTTAATCATTCTC